TAACATTATAGTTGATCAAGAGGCGATCCACTCGATGAGACTGAAAAAAGGCGGAAGCCACTGGATGGCTATCAAAGTAGATTTAGAAAAAGCCTACGATCAAGTCGGTTGGAACGACTCTCTCTCTGAGGAATTCCCCCCCTCTAGAGGAATTAGTCAGGGATGCCCTCTCTCTCTGTATCTATTTGTCATGTGTATGGAGCGTCTAGGACATAGTATACAATATGCAAACAAAGATTATTCCTAAAGGCGTTTGCGATCAGATTGAGAATATTGCAAGAAGATTCATTTGGGGTGGGACGGTTGAAGCTCCAAAAGCGTTCCTTGTCAAGTGGGATACATGTTGCCAACCTATCACTAACGGAAGACTTGGGGTTCGACCTCTTTACCCTCAGAATGAGGCGTTTCTAGTGAAGTTAGGTTTCAATCTGCTTATGAGGTCGGATACTCTGTGGGTTAAACTTTTGAGAGCTAAATATAAAGTTAAAGAGATTGTTCCCATGCAATATGTGGTGAAAAATGGTTCCTTTATTTGGAAGTCCCTTGCGCGCGTCTGGTCTTGTATTCGTGAAAACATTTGTTGGTCGTTGGGTAATGGTTGTCACACAAGCTTTTGGTTTGATTCCTGGATTCCGGGTATGAGACCTCTAGTCGATCTTGCCACCTTGGACCAGCTTCCTCATGTTCATGTTGTTGTTCGTGATATGGTCACTGAAACAGGAGATTGGAATACTACAAAAATTAAACAAGTCTTAAGTGAGGAGATGGCCAAGTTTGTCTTTAGAGTCCCTCCACCGAGTGATTCCTTGGGAGATGACTTTCCAACATGGAGGTGGGATAAATCTGGGATTTGCACGGTCAAATATGCTTTTAATCTAATGCAGCAAGACAAGTGGGATCCATGCAGCAAGGACTGGAACATTGCTTGGGGCTATGATGGCCCACGTGTCCGATAATTTTTATGGCTTGTTCTTCATAACAAGATTATGACTAATGTTGAACGGAATAAACGTGGGCTCTTGGTCGATCCTCGGTGTTTGATCTGTGGCTTAGCTGATGAAACCACCATCCATGTTTTGCATGATTGTCCCCACACTCGGACTGTTTGGGAAACGTTGGTCCCGAGAAGCTTATCGCTGGACTTCTTCAATAGCTCCCTAAAGGACTGGCTCCATTTTAATTTGACTAAACAGTTCTCTTAATTGTGTTGATTTCAGGTGGAGGCATCTCTTTGGGATTCTGCTTTGGAGATTCTGGAAGTAAAGGAATTGTATTGTGTTCAATGGGCAACCTTGGACTTTGGTAACCATTCTCCAATCGGCTAGAGCTTGGGCTGCTTCTCTAAAAGATAGCCATCAGATTGCAAAGCAAGCCAACCGGCAATATAAGAAAGGGTCCTGGCTGCCTCCTTCAATTGGAGTTTTTAAACTTAATTCTGATGGAGCCATGTGTATTGATGATATGGAAGTTGGTGGAGGCGGCGTTATTCGGGACAGTAGTGAAGATTGGGTAACAGGTTACACCAGAAATATTGATCGATGCACTGCTTATCATACGGAGCTTGACGGCCTTGAGGTCGCCTGGAAATATGGCATCCGTCATTTGGTGGTGGAGCTTGACAACCTTGAAGCCGTTCGTCAAATTAACTCCCCAACTCTGTTCAAGAGAAAGCACTATCCTCAGAAGAATCTGTAACTACACTAATCGAAAATGGCGGCTTGCCTTTACTCATATGCCCAGGGAGTCTAACAGGCTGACAGACGCTTTGGCACGGCTCAGACGCAAGATGGAAATTGGCCTTCTGTCCTTCACGCAACCTCCCCAAGAAATTCATAAATTACTGGATTCTGATAAGGCTGCTCTAAGCAGTTCCAGCCATTGTTAAGTGGCTTATTTGTTTATTACCAAAAAAATAATATATTACTCAATATAAAATCTTCAAATATAGTATGTACATAATATTTTATTAAATAATTTTCTCTTATTAATAAGTCGTATATTTTTTTTATTTTTGTTAATAGTCGATAACATTAACTTTAATATTGGTTGTCGACCGTCAGTATTTTTTATTATCATTTTTTTTATTTTCAATAAATATGTATGTATAATATGTTTTCCTATGTCTTTCTCGTATGTTTTCTTATATCTTTTGACACGTTTTTCGATTGTTTGACTATTGTTTTCACTTATCTTTTTCTAATGATTGATTAGACATCGTTACGATTGATTAAGATGACGTTTATTTGTTATATTGTTGATATTCTCTGTTTTGGACCATCGGATTGAATTTGACTACTCGTTATGCGTCATAGCTTTTCACGTCATTCGAGTTTGATTTACGGTTTGTCAGTGGTCTTTTAGTAGTTTAATCATCTTTTGTGATTCGTTTACCAATGCAATCAGATCTGTTTGTATCAATTTTTGTTCAAATTTTCTGGTTATATTTTAATATTTCTTTATATGGTCCTTATGTGATCTTAAGTTAATAAATTTATTTCAATGATTATAGGAAATTGTCCTAATTATATACTTAATTTATTATTATGATTATAAATCTTTATTGTAATTTAAGATATTTCTTATTTTAAATAAATTAGTATTTTTTTTAAATTACTCCATTCTTTTGTGTCAACAAGGAAATCAGTAATTGGATTTTCATACTTTTTTTTTTTCATGTTTAACGTATACAATTATAGTAAAAATTAAAATTAAAATCTTTAAGGCATGAATAAAACAGAAGAGTTTCAATCGATGCTTTGACATACATTTGTTTTATTGCATTCAAAGAAATGTTACGTTTTATGATTCGACTTAGGGAGGGTTCTGTTTAAAATCTTTACCATATACATGATGAACCTAGAGGGGATGGGTAGGAGTCTATCATCCCTTAAAAATTTTAAATTCTTATATATTTTAGATGTATATTTTATATTTTTTTTATTGAAAATATGTTTTCCCCTTTCCCAAATTTTATAAGTTCTCCCACTTAAAATTTTATAAGTTCGTTTCTTCTAACATAAAATTCTGCGTTTGTCCATGATGTCTATATACGAAAATGAAAACAAAATATCTTCATTTTTCCACCTTATTCTTCAAATATACCTTTATTGAAATTGTTATAATAATTGCAACTAAATCCAAAGTAGCTATATATAAATATAATTACATATCAATGACAAAAAAATATCAAGTTTATGAGCAGTCTGCTACATTAGAAATTTATTTTAATCCCTTTGGAACTTTGAAAGAACTCGGAAAAGAACACTCTCGAGGTTATCTTAACCCTCACGATCGAAAGGCTTTAAAAATAAAATTATTTAAATATAATATAAAAAATAGCTTTTTTATAATATAAAAATATTTTTGTTTATGGTATAAAATTAAAATATTATTAAGGATATAATATTATTTATAAAACTGTTTAAATCAATTATCATTCAAATACAATTATTGTATTATTTTTTAATTAAATAAAAATATTATATTTATAATTAAACATTAAAAATTTAATAAAAATTATAATGGAGAGTAAATATTTTATTAAAATACATTTAAAAAATTAATTCGATAAATGAATATTAATCATATTAACTTTCTTCACACAATCCTTAGCCCTTTTTATGTGGGCTAAATTGAGATTACCTTATTGGGCTTAACCCTTTTACAACAACAAAAATGCTAAAAGCTAATAATAAAATTGGAAGTTGTATTATTTGAATTAATTATTAACTTTTATTGGGAAATAGATATTAATTATTTAAATTTGTATTATTTATGCACATAACATATTTATAATTATTTTGAGGGATAATTAACCTTTAAACACGATAAGATAATAAATAAATAAATAAATAAATAAGAGTTACTTGTAAATTTCAGATATTACAATTATTATTTACACAATATTTATACAAAAATGCAGCTAATAATAGTAATTATTGTATCCAAATGAAACAAATTGAGTTGGAAGAGTCGGCTTTTTAATAGATTTTTATAAAATTTCATATATAATTTTTAACAAATAGATTAAATTCAAATAATTAAACCAAATAATTACTAGTGATGCACATTTTAAATGAAAATTTCACTTGGGAAAAACATGCCACTCATCAATACAATCAAAGAGATTTATCAATGGGTATGTCGATTCTGACTATGCAAGGAATTTGAATAAAAGCAAACTACAACAGGATATGTGTTCAAAGTTGTTGGTGGAACTGTAAGCTGGGTTTCAAAATTGCAGTCAGTTGTAGCTACATCCACAACAGAGGGAGAATATGTAGCAGCTACACAAGCCAGTAAAGAAGCAATTTGGTTGAAGATGCTATTGGAGGAGTTTGAGCACAATCAAGATAATGTCTCTCTACTTTGTGACAGTCAAAGCGCCTTACATTTAGCAAGAAATCTAACATTTCATTCAAGGACAAAACACATACGAGTTCGGTAACATTTTATTCGTGAAAAGATAAAAGAAGGGATGGTAGATATGCAGAAGATCCATACCAAAGGCAACATAGCAGATTTCATGACGAAGGCGATCAATGTTGATAAATTTACTTGATGTTGATCCTCTTGTGGCCTGTCAGAAACGTAAGCAACATGAAGGTACAAGGTAGAAAGAATGGTGTGAAGATATGATTGTTCCAATCAAATCTTCAAGTGAGAGATTGTTGAAAGCCAAAAATGGAGAATGGCAACATGGGCGGCTGAATTTTGTCAAAATTAGGCAACAATATTTTATGACTTTTGGCATGAGAAAATTGTAAAATTAGTGTGTGTACTTTAGAGTATTTACAAGATTAGTCATTAAGCTTCAATTATATATACCCTAACTCATTTAGCTTCAAAAACATCCCAAATCATTCTAGCTTTCTCCAAATACTAGAAAATTTAGAGAGTTTTCTTGAGAGTTGTTTTCTCCTTTTTATCAAGAGAGAATTGTTATTGTTTTCTCCTTGTTAGATCGAGAGAAGTTGTAATTCCTATTTTCTCATAGTAAAATTCTTCTACCGTTGCCCGTGGTTTTTAGCCTATATTATTTAGGGGTTTTCCACGTTAAATTTGTGTCTTTTTTATCTTCATTTTTATTTTCTTAAATTATCAGTTGTGATTTTGCTTTATCCGATAACCGTATTCCGCAACAGTATTTACGATAAAAATGAAGTTATTTTTCTCAGATTAAATGAGTTCGAACATCTGTATTTATAAGATATGTGTATGTTGTTAATAGATTAAAAATATTCTAAACATATAATTAATTTAAAAAATAAGACTTAAGTGAGTTAAGCAGCTCGGACTCGACTCGGTCAAAGCTCGGTAAAAACTCGACTCGGTTTGACTCAACTCGAACTCGAGTCGACCTTAACGAGTTGAGTCGAGCAAAGTCCAACTCGACTCGATAAGTTCACGAACAACTCATTTATTTTATTTATTTATAATTTTTTAGTAGTTATCTTAAACAATTATTTCATTCAAAAAAAATTACTACTTTACTTTATAATAAAAAAGATGATGAATACTAACAACCAGTTGATCTAGTGTGATGAGTCATTAAGTCCCTTAAGCAAGGTCAGAGGTTCGAATCCTGGCGTTAGCGAACGGAACAAATTGGGTTGGGAGGGTTGCCCTCACCTCTACAGTACTCGATCTATATCTGGATTAGTCGATTAATAGATTGGATACCAGTGATTAATTCAAAAAATGATGAATTGGTAATATATTAAATTTCTAATAAATAATTAAGAAATATAAAATTATTAATTAATATTTTACTACATTAAAAAATCAAACATTTTAATTCATATATATTTTAAAAAATAAATATTTTTTGACAAATTTTAAATCTAATCTTAATCCTATCTAGAGGGGGGAGGAGGGGGACTCTAAAAGAATGAAAGATAGTGCTCCTAGTAGGTATAGAATTCATGACCTAAGAAAATACGAGAAAGATGAACAACTTTGTAACACCCCCAACCCGTACTCGACCCGGATACGAATCCGAAGTGTCACATTGACATTTCAAAACAATGTTCTTACCAAATAACATAATATTTGGACTTATATTAAGAAAATACAATAATATACTATTGAATTATGTTTCATTATAAAAATTTAAGGCAAAAACGGTTTTATGAACAGTAATATACGGTATGACCATTACCGTAAACAATAATGCACAGTACCATGAATAGTGCTATAGTGTACTGATGCACAAAAACATCGAATATAAATTGTGTATCGATGCACTGCTACAGTGTACCAATGCACTGCTACAGTAACTTCAGCTCAAATTATATAAAACTCATAAAAATTAAACTTTCATCACTATACATTTACCATTTACATAAATACGTTTAAAACATTCCAAAGTTTGATCAGGGCACACATACTTAATTTAAAGACTTTGTTTACATGCCAACCTATTTATCACCTAATAATACATACTGTGTAATTTACTTCTGATCTGATATTGGAGCAGAGATATGTTGTTACTTTGAACTTAGCTTTGATCCTCCTGCTTCTCAGTACCTACGTGTAAATCACTTACACGCTAAGTCGTAGACTTAGTGAGGCATAAACATAATAATGATGCATTTTTCATAAATATAAACATGCAATTTATGAATTCAATCATGTCACATATAATTCAGTATACATAATAACAACATAATAACATACGATAATGCAAACACTTTTGATTTTAGGATAACTTAAGTTTTCCTTAAGCTTAAGTATCACTTAATGATTAAAACCCAACTTAAATTTCAGCTAATAATCAATAAGAAAAAAATCTTACCTTTTCCTTGAGCTTTCACGTGGAGGAGGAAGAAGAAGGGATAAGAGTTTCAGATAACTCTCCCCACATGCTTATCTCTTAATAAAGAGATAAATATCTTTTACATGAAAAGACTACCTTACCCTTCATACTTTCATTCCTCATAATTTAATCCAATACCAGAATATATCACTTTAAGTCTCTGAACTTTTTAATAAATTCTACTTTAATCACTAACTTTTTGAACTTTTACAATTTGGTCATTAACCCATAGTTTGGGATGTTACAAACTTGATCAACCGACCAAATAATTTAATTTAAAATATTAAATCTACTTTTAGTTAAATTGAAATATTGAATTTAAATACTTCTTAGGTCTCTATCAATTTATAAGTTGATCAAATTGATTCTTTTTTAAAAAATAAGAATAATTTAGTCCTTACATTTTAAAAGCAAATAAAGATGATCTATGACAGTGTTAACTTTTTCCCGTTATTAATAGATGATATGTTTAAAAATTAGGATTGAATAATTTTATTAAATATTAAAAACTCAATAAATATATATATAATATTTAAAACAATACAAAACTTTAAAAATTACTAAAAAAATCAATAATTTTTTTGAATTTTTTGAAAATATAAAAAAATAATGAAATTTCAAAATATTATTTAAAAGTAAAAAAATATATTTTTAACAAAAAAATAATCTTTCGACAATAAAATAATTTATTTCTAAACAATTCAAAACTATTTGAAGAACAACAATATTGAACATCAAATAGTATGATTTTTTTCTTATATAAAGAAACTACAATAAGTAAAAAGTTAAATAACGCAACTTATAATCATCAAGGTGATTTTTTTAATTAAATAGGAAGAAATTAGAGAACCAGATTAGTTAACACTAGCTTTACAATAAGAGGTACTCCATGTCTCTATAAAGTAGTTCATGCGTGTAACTCTGTGAAAGATCATGATGAAGTATCTCAAACTAGAAGTAAAGGATGTGTTTGGCCAGAGCATTAGCTGTGTAGACATCAATTTTTTTCATTTAAATTTATTATTATTATTAAAATTATTATTATTAGTATTATTATTATAATTATTATATATTATTTATTAAATATTACAAAGCCCAATTACAATAACTCAGGCCCAGATACAGAAGCCCAACATAAACCCTAAAACCCAACTAGGGTTTCTCATCTCATGCCCCAGCCGCCAGTGATCTCCACCGTTGGATCTGGCAAGATCCAACGGTCCAAAACTATCCAGCTTGAAACCCTAGGGTATCATAACCCTAGGGACCACACGGCCGCCGTCGTTGCTTCCAGACGTTCCAGCTGCCGATGCCCTCGCCAGAAGCCTCCAGAAGCTTTGCTGCCATGATAACAGCCGCACACGTCGCCTCTATGGTGAGTCACCAGCATAGCTTTGGTGACTCACCGAGCCTTACACCCTTGTAACCGGTCCGACGAGAACCTCATCGAGGCTATAAAGCCATCACCTGCAAGAAGAAAAAAGGGACAGAAAGCAAAGAACGGAGACAACAACCAACAAACCAGAAAGAGCCACAAAGAGATACCGAACAGACAAAAAAAAAATAATAACAACCCTCAGCAGCAAACAAAACAGAAAGAAAGAAAGGAGAAAGAACTTACCGAGGAAACCACGCGGTGACCGGAGACGCTACGTACCGAGGAAACATTTGAAATACCCGAAGGTATTTCTCTAGATCTGCTCCGATCCAGAGCTTTTTAGGGTAAACCAAGGCCAGATTTGGCCTTGGGAGGTTCGGGTCTTTATTTTGGGGTCTTTATGTAAAATCCGACCACCGTATATGGTAGCCGGCGGCGGTGGTCGAGACCAAAGCGCGGCCGTCGGCCAGAGCTCAATTCCCTCAGATGAAGGAATTGAAGAGAGAACCGAGAGAGCATTCTCTCTCAGTTAGAAAGAAGAGGAACGAGAGAAATGAGGATGCTGGCCCTTCGGGCCAGCCGTTTGGTAAAAATATAAATCCCTCCTCAAACGACGTCGTTTTGGGGAGGGACCCTTGTGTAATTTTACATACGGGTAAAACCCTTTCCGTAGCCATCCAAGTTTTATAATTATTCATTTTAGTCACTGAAATTAATTTCTGAACATTTTAATTCAGTTTTTGAATTTTATTTTATTATGTTTTAGTCCTTACCAGTATTAAATATATTTATTTAGGGTAAATACATAATTTAGTCCTTTACAGTTTAGTAAAAATCATTTTAATCCGAATTAATTAAATAAGGCTAAATTATATTATTAGCACTTAGATCTTTTTATCATTCGAGTTGGAACCTTTAATTTTAATGATTATTATTTTAATCACCTATTAATAATTAGGATTAATTACATCATTAGTAATTATATTTTTATAATACTATAAATAAGGGCTGTAAATTTTAATTTTTTAATATTTTTATTTATTTTAATATGTTTTAGTCCCTATTTAATTACAATTTAATTTGTATTATTATCATTTCAAATCCAATATGTTTAAATGATTACTTTAATTATTATTGTATTATTATCTTAGTCATATAAATATATATAATAAATAATATTTATTTATTTATTTATTTGTTTTCTATGAAATAAAAATCCTATTTATGAACTAGATATGTTTAATTTATATTTTAGATATTTATTTATTTTTTAAATATTGAAGGAAAGAGCTGTCTTAAAACAACTAGAAACCCTTTTCTAATATTTTTAATTAAATAAATATCTTACTATATTAAAATAATTTTTTTAGTTATTTATTTATATCAAAGAAAAGAGCTGTCTTAAAGCACCTAGAAGCTCTTTTCTGATATTTCTAAATAAATAAATATCTTATTTATATATATTAATATATTTTCTTAAAATTATAAATTTGAAATAAAAGGATTATGAATTAAATATATCTTTGAATTTTTAAATTTCCAATAATAGAGACAATTTATAATTAAAAAAGTACCAATTTTGGGCGTTGTAGGGGTGCTAATCCTTCCCTAAACGTAACCGACCACGAATCCCTTTTTATTATTATTAAGAACGAATTTTTGGTTATAAACGCAGATCAGTTCATTTTTTAATTGATGTTTTCTTAAAACTCTTTTAAAAAATAATTTTTAGGTATTCGACCTACCTGACCCAAAAGGCCGATGGCGACTCCCAAATTATTTTAAAAACCATTTATTCACATTATTTTTCCCGCCAAGTAAAAAATTCGTGCCCGGATGAAAACCGGTTACGACAGCTTGGCGACTCCGCTGGGGATGGTCAAACTTTAAAATCAATTATAAATTGTCTCTATTAATTAGAAATTAAAAATTCATTTATTTAATTTTTAATTCTTTTCTTTAAAATTTTTATTATTTATTATTTTTATATTAATATTGTTTTTATTCAGGTATTAATTATTTTATTTATCTGTTAGAGGTTTGAATATTTCTCCTCACACACAACACTTGCATTGCATAACATAAAGCTCTATAATTGAGTTTGTTCCTTTTAAGTGGGAGTGAAAGCGACGTCTTCGTGAGAATTTATTCTCTGTGTCAGACCTAGAAAGTAACTTTCGGGGTTCATATGCTCTATGTCTTCGTGAGAATTTATTCTCCGTGTCAGGTATAGAAAAATGTGTCCCCTCGAATTGAACTCGATCCGTTTAAGTCTGTAATGGACTAGGATTGAGGGTTGACAGCCCAAGGGGGCATCAACAAGGACAATTCGAGTACCTTTACTCCTAGAACTGAAACTCTGCATATAATAAACCCTAGAAATTCACCTAATCTAAGACAGTACTGAACCTCTATTCATAGGTGTACACCAAGGAGAAATAAGCTCTAGCTTTTAATTTATTTAATTTATTATTATTTTTTCTCCCTGAATAAATGCATGCGAACTAGAAATCATGCGGTTAGGTTAATTTTTCCAAACAAAGCATGGAACTAGAAAGCATGAGGTTAGGATTTATTATATACCATGATAAATAAATTTTTCTTTCAATTAGTTGGTATTAACCATTTTATTTTTTCTTATTTTCCCATGTATGTTATTTTTGCTCTAATTTGTTTAAATTATTTTCTTTTGTTTGCATTGCATGATCATGACCAAAAGGTGTTAACTGAAAAGACTGTTCATCAAATTAGAAAGAAAATCATAAATGGACAAAAAAGTTCTATGGTCAAACAAAATATGATGCGGCCAAGAAAAGACATCCTGAGGGAACTCTGAAGATAAAGAAGAGCTATGCACCCAAAGATTGTATGCCCATTAAAGAGCAAAAGGAGATACGAGAAATAAGAGAGCAGATGTCCAAAATGATGGATAGAATATCTGTTTTGGCCAAAAGAGAAGAGATTCCTGCACAGAAAGAGAGAAAGCTTAATGAAGATAATCCTGCAATTTCATATATGCAAGGGACTTCGGATCTTAACCAATTGGAGAAATTACAGACAGTCATCATTCGTATTTACCAATCGTCTGGAGATACCAAAGAAATGGTGACGATTGTACAAGCTCCCAGAGAAGAGAAGAAATCATGTAATCTGAAATCATCGAAGTTTAGTATGCTCCCGATATTTAAAACTCAGGTTCAATTCAAGACAAAAGGCGGTTCTCATATTGATGCTATACCTATATCATATAAAGATTTGTATGAAAAGTTACTTGAAGCACGAGAAGTGGATCCATATTATATAAAACCGTTCCAACCTCCGTATCCAAATTGGTATGACATCAATGTTCATTGTAAATATCATGCCGGAGCTCAAGGACATACCATCGAGAATTGTCTTGCTTTCAAACGCCGAGTCCAAAGTCTTTTAGATCATGGAACCTTACAATTTATGGTAAATGATCGACCTAATTTAGTAACCGAGGGTCCTGATAGATTAATACCAAAAGTCTTCCAAGGTAAGAATATCAGTAGGGGCACCCAGAGAGAAGAAGATTTGCTGAGGTTTGAAGCTCAAATACGTCATTTGAAGATTGAAAACGATAAATTGAGCACCAAAATGGAAACCATACATGAAGATTTCCAGAAGGTCAGTCAAGCCTTTCAAAATGCTGGTATAGGAAACACCCCAGAAGAGTGGATAGCAGGGGTCACCAAACTGAAAAAGAGTTGCAACATACATGAAGATCTTGTCCAAAAACTTTTTGAACACAAATGTTCTCTCACAAGGGAAAATGAGCAAATCTGAGAATTGACATAGGAGATGAAAGAACACCAGAATGTCATGGAAGAAGCTGCAGTCCAGACAAGCAATATGGCCCATAAGCTGATAATCTAACTTGGTTTTAGAGAAGAAAATGGGAAAGTTATTCCCTATATGTAAAGTTTTGTTGAAGTTAGGATTAAAAGTTGTCCCCTACATGTAAAAGTTTTGTTTGATGTACTGAAGCTTTTGTGTTCAATGAAATCTGTTCTAAGATGATCACTCTTAAGTAACACCTTTTCATACATACATTTACATTTTGTATATGGGCATTTTCATTTTGTATTTTTATTTTTTTTATATATATCTTTGAATTGCACATTTTGCATTCTTATTTTTCCATTTATGCATTTTTCACATTTTTATTTAAGTACTGTCATGTATTTTAATATAAATAATTCATGAAAGGTTTCTGTAACAGTAAAAACCAAGATCATTCATTTATTTTACTGTACCATCTTCATGAAAACAATGGAGCAATCTTATGAGGGACTACAAGACCATTGGCCGGAACCATTGACAGGGTTACCTCGGGATACAAGGAAAGAAGTTTCAGATTCAGTACCAGATGGATCAGATCAAATTATCCAGGGAATGGAATCTGATAAAGAAGATACAACTGCTATAGAGAAATCGTGCTGAAGAGTCGAGAAAGATAACATACCCTGGGGTATCCCACTCAAACTCAAAGAATAGCCTCATTAATTATTCACAATATGAGGAGAAAGTCATGAGAACATAGAAAGCAATCAGAAACATGAAAGATGTTAGTGCCTACCACAAAGAATTAGAAGCAAGAGAGCTCAGCTTGATTCCAGATTTGATTATTCCCCATGAATTCAAAATGCCTGATTTTGATAAATATGATGGCACCAGTTGTCCTTTAATCCATTTGAGAATGTTTTGCAGAAAAATGGAAGGATATTTGAGTTCTAATGATTTATTAATACACTCTTTCCATGATAGTCTTGTTGGCCCAACAATAGTATGGTACAATCAGTTGACCCAAGAACAGATCAAGAGATGGGTAGATCTAGCTGATGCATTTTTGAGACAATATCGATATGTTAAAGGCTTAGTTCCAACACGTATGGATCTTCGAAGAATAAAGAAGAAAACCAATGAAAGATTTCAAGAATATACCCTAAGATGGAGAGGAGTGGCAGCACAAGTTCAACCTCCCATGTTAGAAGAAGAAATATCACGTATGTTTCGTGATTCCCTTCCAGCGCCTTTCTTCAAGTTAATGCAGGCAAATCCGACAAACGAATTCGAGAATCTTGTGACAAGTGGAGATTTAATTGAGAATGTAATCATTGAAGAAAACTCAAAAGCCACATCCAAGAGCCCGATGGATCAAAAAGCAAAAGCCGATCATGTGAATGAATGTTGCATCCAGAGTCCTAGTAATTACAAAAGAAAAAGAGCAAGTAACTATTCGGATCGACCAAAGAAAGTCATGCGATTAAGAAAAACTTTGGAAGTATTCCAAACGTCCATTTCAGACTTGTATCCTCATTTGGTTAAAGGTCAATACATCACACCAAGACCAACTAAAGTGACATCAAACCCTTCTGCTCATAGCTATGATCAAGATAGTGTTTGTAATTTCCACTTGGGGGTAAAAGGGCATTCTACAAGCAATTGTAGGCCACTGTTGAAAGAAATAGAGATGCTTGTTGACAAAAGAGTCCTAACACAAGAAATGAAAAAAAAATGGGGGGCAAATAAGGATAATGACCCTGGTCCAAATATACATCCAACATTAGAGGAGGCATGATGTATAAACAAGTGGAAGTGTTATCTACCACTGTAGTACTTTCTATTTTCAGCATCTTGTTTGAACTTGTTTTTTTTTGTTCCTTTCCTTTTGGCAATAAATAAATAGGTGTTTCTTTTATGGTTATGAGCAAGGAGTCAAATTTTAATCTTGTGATTATTGAGTATCAAGTAGATTAAATGTTCTTTTAATTTTTCAAGAGTAATAGATCTATTGGCAAGTGGTAAAATTATATCTTCAATATCCCATCCAATGCCAATTACTCAAATCAAATCCTGACACTACATTTATCTGAGACTCTGAAGAAATGTCTCTACCTGTTTTTGAGATACAAACACTAGATGTTTACCTTTTCGGGTAGAGTCAATTGATTGATGATACTACCTTCCACCATATACATGACTTCAAAAGTCACACATTTGTCTTTTCGAACACAAAACCATCATAAACCAAAAGACCTCAAAAGAACCAAAATTTCAATTATCCGTGAATCTGACTGTAAGAAGAGACGAGATGAGGTATCATGGACCAACTCATTGAAGATGATTTCGGATGATTAGGGCATACTCAAGAAGAAGGGGAAAATGATTGATTGAAATAAATATATCATGCATTAATTACATTTTTCATGTAAGTAAAATTAATCTTGAATATTCATCCCCCTGGAGATACCTCTTTTTAGAAAGGTTTCTGTGTATGAGATGATGAATGGCATTGTTTCATTTATCCTTTAATATATATATATATATCCTTTGTTGTCCCCATTTGAGCCTGAATAATTTTTCTTCTAATTCAACCCTAACCAAGGATCACCCTCTACATTGGAGGGCAGGGTAAAGGATATTGGCTCACAAGAATAAAGATTGTCAATACAGTTTTATTACGAAGACAAGTTTCCATGAAGTCATGAAAGTTTTGAACTACAAAGTATGTCAAATACAGAGTGCTTGAAGATCAATCCAATCAAGAATAATGGAAAACCTCCAAAATACAAAAGAAAAAGGAGGTGCTCAAAGCAGTTGAAGTATTATACTCATCCAGCAAAGAAAAAAATAGAAATAATAAAAAAAAAACAAAAAGAAAAAGAAGAAGGAAAATTGAATCAAGATGGGTGACTTATTGAGCCTCACGTTACAAGGTTGATCAAGTACGAACAAGAAGAGCAAGAAATGCTGAAGATATGAGAAATTGGAAATGAATCCAAAATTTGGCAGTCTAGAGGGATCCAGATGATGGAAAAATCCCCAACAAAGCAGATCCAAGTGAAGCAAGGCAAGATTGATGGCATAAGAATGAATTGACCCTTGGTTTGATTACCCTTAAACACTTATTTGGGCCTTTTATTCCTTTCTTTCTTAACCATAAGCCATGGCCTACGTTACGTACCTGAAAAGTCCATTCTAATCATACATGGATTTCTAAGTAAAAGATGATATCTTTAGAATTCATTCCGCCTTCCAAGATTGATTTTTATTTGCAAAAATTGTTTTTTTTTAAATCTTTAATGCATGATATGAAAAATGATAAAGGGGGGGTTCAAGATGTAAATTTTTAAATAACATCTTGAAACCAAAGGAGGATTCGAGTTGAAAACCTAAAAAAAGGTGGCTCGAATAATGAATGGTGCAACAATGACATAAGAGACGATCTTAAGCTCTTAATAAAGCACCGCACATCCCAAAGACGTTCCTGAGAATAGGGAAACAAGAAGCATCTCTACAAGATGGGCATAACAACCATTTCTTCAAGTTAGTGGAAGCCCGAAGCGACATACTGAACCAACTTGAAAGAACCTACTTTACCAAAATCAACCTACACCTCAAATCAGTCAATAATTTTGACACTTGCCATAGGACTATGATTTTTGAATGATTTAAAAGTGTAGTTGATTTATTTGATATTTATTAAATTCATTGTTTATGATCTGATTCTATTGTGAACCTAAGAAGGGTAATACTTTGTAAAAGTCTTTCATTCTTCAATAAACAAAGGAGGAAAAAACATTTTCAAACAGGACAGTCTCAAATGAGGAAGGTCCTTGAAGCAATTGTTGCTTATTCTACCTCTGTTGTAGAAGAAGAATGAACGAAGCCAGAATGATGAAGCATTTCACTTTCTTGAAAGCAAATGGTCCAAAAAGCAGAAAGTCTGGAGAATTAAACTTTTGACACTCCCCTATGACATTATTATCAGCTCATCAAGAAAGCTTATCGTTTATCTCATACCGAGATCGATAAACATCACTAGACAAATTACTTTCCCCA